GGCAGCCACCGGGCTCAGAGCGGATGAGCTCCTTCCGTAGGAAAGTTCTTTTAATTCCCAGAATGACTAAACTCTAAATTCAGCAGCCAGAAGAAAAAGGCCAACAGTTTTCTCTTTGCTCTGGGTTTGTGGTTGTTTTTGCTGAAGACAACAGGAGTCTCCCACCAGACACAGATAATCACAAGCCAGAAGATAAACGCCTACACTGGCGATGTCTTGATAACAAGGGGACTGAAAAAGCTGTGCCCTTCCCCACCACAGGGGTCAGAGAGGCCTCTCCTCATGTCCTGTTAGCAAAATCCTGGAGAATTATAAAAGGGATTACAAGGTTGTGTCCTTACTTCCCAGGAAAACAGCATTGAATCATCCCAGATGTAATCATAAAATTCTTTCAGCTAAAAGGAAGCTTAGAGATTATCTCTGACTTTACAGATGAGAAAGCTGAGAGGTAACTCGTTCAACTGCACACAAGCTATGGGGAGCTCTAGGAGCTCTGGTAGCGTAGTGCCTAAGGCACTTGACTGCTAACCAGAAGGCTGGAGGTTCAAACCCACCAGCCACTCCTCGGAAGGAAGGTTGGGCAATCTACTTCCATAGTGATACTGCCTCGGAAACCCAAGGAGGGGTCACTATGAGTTAAAATGACTCAACGGCAGTCAATTTGGTTTGGTTTGGTTTGGTATATAGTTACTTATAAGGAGATCTAGTAGCATAGTGGATAAGGCATGTGGCTGCTAACCAGAAGGTCAACGGGTCAAACTCACTAGCTGCTTTGTGGAAAGAAGATGGGGCAATCTACTTACATGAATATTTACACCCTTGAAAATCCAATGGGGGTCACTATGAGTCAGAATCAACTTGATGGCAGTGAGTTTGGTTTTTTGGTTTATAGTTGCTTATGAATCCCTCACCAGCCACTCCTCGGAAGGAAGATTGGGCAATCCTACTTCCGTAGTGATACTGCCTCGGAAACCCAAGGAGGGGTCGCTATGAGTCGGGGCCGACTCGACGGCACATAACAACAACAACAACAACAATGAATCCCTAGGTGGTGTGAACAGTTAACATGTTTGGTTGCTAACTGAAAGGCTGGAGGTTCAAATCTACCCCGGCGTGCACTGGAAGAGAGGCCTGGCTATCCACTTTCAAAACATCAGCCATTGAAAATCTATGGAGCACAGTTCTGCTGTGACATACGTAGGGTTGCCATGAATTGGAACTGACTCAAAGCAGTTGGGGTTTCTTCTTTTTTTTTTTTTTTTTTGATAGTTGCTTAATCTGCTCAAAGCTCTTCAGTATATTGATAAAGAAAACGCTTTAATTGAATTAGAGAGAAGTTGTGGCAGTACGAACCTCCCGGAGGAAGACAAGCAGAGCTAAGAAAGAACAAATCTAGTTACCCCTGTGGATCTGTCACCTGGGTTACTTAGATAAGAGCTCCTGTCCCCTCCTGCTTGGTCCAGGATGTGATTCATTTACATTGTGCATCAAAGTCCTTAAGGGTTAAAGAACTTAGATTAAAAGCTTACAGGTAGGACTTGGAATTTGTATTTTACATATATGAGTCCTGAATGCCAACTGTCTAGGTTAGAGTCCTTGCTCTGTCTGGGCACATGACTTAACTGAAACATCTCAGTCTCCTCATCTGTAAAATAGGGAAACAAGGCCCCTATATGACAGGCAGGGGGTGCTGGTGGGTCAGTGGTAGAATTCTCACCTTCCACGCAGGAGATCCAGGTTCAGTTCCCACCCGGTGCACCTCATGTGTGGCCACCATCCATCAGTGGAGGCCTGTATGTTGCTATGATGCAGAACAGGTTTCAGTGGACTTCCAGACTAAGACAGACTAGGCAGAAACTCACTGCCATCGAGTTGATTCTGACTCACAGAGACCCCTATTGGGTTTCTGAGGCTGTAAATCTTTACGGGAGTAGATCACCCTTTCTTCTGCAGAGCAGCTGGTGGATTTGAACTGCCGACCTTCTGGTTAAGCTGCCAAATGCCTTATCCACTATGCCACCAGAGCTCCTTCTACATCTATAAATCAGCCAATGAAAATCCTATGGATCAGAATGGCCCAATCCACAACCAGTCACAGGGATGGCACAGGACCCAGCAGCATTTGGTTCCTCTGTGCATGGGGTCATGGTGAGACGGGGGCTGCATCAACAGTGGCAGCAACAGATGACATGGCAGAGCCAGGGGCTGGGCCCTGTTCTCTTTGCTCTTCCCTTGGTGTCCTTTCTCCTGCCCCTCTGGAAATTATTCTTTTCTGGAGCTCTGGTGGCATAATGCCTAAGGCATTTGACTGCTAATCAGAAGGCTGGCAGTTCAAACCCACCAGCCACTCCTTGGAAGGAAGATTGGGCAATCTACTTCCATAGGTATACTGCCTTGGAAACTCAAAGTTTCTATGAGTTGGGTTTAACTCAACGGCAGTGAGTTTGGTCTTGTTTTTTTCACTTTACCTCTCCAGACAGACCCCAGTCTTCTGGTCCCAGTTCCTACTGTTATTTCTTTTGATCTGAGTGTCTGTCCACTGGAAGTGATGAAATGTGGATGAGAACACAGCCCAGCCCCATCACCTCCGCTGCAGAAGCTCTCCCATCGAGACCCTGTCTGTACCCCCACACAGCCCAGGGCTACTGCCACCTGAACCAACGATTTAAGGACAGGCTTCCCTCACGCCAAGCCTATGATGATGGCAATCAGCTCCTGTGCGGCATCTTCTGGGCGCCTGCGTCTGCCCAATGCCTTCTTTATAATTAGTGTGCCTGGTGTATCTGCCTACCCAGTCTGGCTTAGCACCTGACCAGCTGCAGGGCGGGCCCAGGCCCACGTCTGCTCAGCCTCTGTGTCACCTCCAACAGCTGCAGGGAGTCTGGGTCTGCTTCCTGTCTGCACCTGTGAGTCTCTGTGGCATCACCCGTGTCCCACTGGGTGCTGACTCCTCACTGCTGGCCCCTCCCCGGCATTGTGCACAACCCTGTGCTGTGTCCCATTTGCCCTGGGCCTGCCTGCTGCCCTGCGGCCACAGGGCCAACCACACCTGCTGCAGTTAGTTGCAAAGTCCTGGTGCTGTAGCCTGGGAGCTGGCCAGCATCTGTGAGGCCCTATCCTGGCTTTTCCCATGGCTGTCCACCAAGTGTCTGCACAAAATCCATGTCCACCTGCACCTGCGCGCCCTCGCATCCATCTGGCTCATTCATTCTTGGCTCAGGGTCCAGGGCAGTGGGCCTTCATGACTCCGACTCCCTCCTCACTGGGACTCCTCCCCCTGGACTCTCCTCAGGCCTTTCCTGCCGGCCTCAGCTTTCCACCCTCATCCGACATGCACGTTCACTATCTCCTGTCTTCATGGGTGCCAAGAGTGTTGAGGGCTTAGCCACCCAGCTGCTGGATACCTTTGGGAACCATGGGCCTCTGGCCGACCCTGAGCCAATACCACCCAGAGAACCCTGGGCAGGGAGCAGTCACTCTGCCCGAGCCTCCAGCCTCCGCCCAACACGGCACCACATCCAGAAGAAGAGTGCTCCAGGCAGCTACAGGAAACGGGAGTGGAAATCCCTCGCCAGTAACCACAGGCTCCTCCGCCTGGCGTGGGCCGCTCCGAATGAGGCCTTCACACCTTCAGCCAGACCTGGTCCAACCTATCAGCTACCCACTCCTCTCTCCCTTCTCTCTAGTAGCTGGGCGCCTTTCAACGCCTGCTCTTGGTCCCACTGACCACCCTCATCCTGCCCACTACATCCCATCCCTACCCCTCTCCCCACCCAGCACTGCCCACCTCCCAGGTGGGCCAGGGCTGAGGTAGTCAGGGCAGCGAGGACACCTGCTGGTAGGAAAAGCAAACAGAACCGCTCCCAGAGTCCCTGGCCCACGAGTGGCTCACATTCCTCCTTCCTGGGCTGTCAGTTTCTCAACATCTGCCAAACCTCTCTCTCTTGTATTGGGGTTTTTCAAATCCCCATTCAGTAAACACACATGACTTCCACACGTGTACAAACACACACAGACGTCTCACCCAGAAGCCTCCCAGCTTCTCTGCACAGACAAGGGAGCCTCCTGGGAGGACACACTCCCAGACACACATGCCCTCTGCACCCCCAGCCACACCTCCCACCCACGCTCCCGCTCGCTCGCGCAGACACAAAAGGGCCCATAGCTCTCATCTGCACAGTCCTGCTTCTCCCATCCACAGGCCCAGAAGAGGCTCATTTTGAGCACATTAATCTGCCTAGTGCACATCGCCCTAAAGTATCTATCCATATGAACATATGTGTATGTCCTCCCCGCATGCACATGGGCCCTGGGGGTGGGAGGTAAACCGAAGAAGGGCCCAGAGAGCAAGAAGCTGTATCTTGCCCGGGCTTCACTAACCACTCCACAGGAGACAGATGTGGCAGTCTGGGTCTGTAAAGCTTTACAGCCTTGGAAACTCTATGGGGTAGTTCTACTTTGTCCTTGAGGGTCCCAATGAGTGAGAATTGACTAGATAGCACTGAGTACTGTACTCCTCTTCCCAAGAACTGTAAACACTGAACCAGAGACGTGTCACAATGGGTTGTGAAAAGCAGAGAGGAGACCCAGGTCTTGAAACTCAGAGAGCTGTAAGCACTGAAGAGAGAGCTGGCCCTGCCCCTTTATGGCACCCCAATGCTTGCAGTTACCTATGTGGTTGCATGTGCAAGACCACATATGCTTTTCTGGGCAGCACAATGCAAATCCACATCAAAATGAGTCAAGGATGTGCTGTGAGTTCAGCAGGCTGCTGGGCTCCGGGGCTCCGGCCTCCCAGAAGGGCCCGCTCCTAACTAGAATGGCTCTACCTCCCTACCCACCTACCCAGCCCCAACTGCGCATCACACCTCCTGAACCTCTGGGTCTGGTGAGCCCCGGGGCACCCTGCTGTGTGGCCACTGTGAGGCCCCCTCTGGTGAGCGCTCCACTCCAGATCCAACCTTCCAGAGAAGACACCCCCAGCGAGAATTGGGACTTACTGTGCTCCGCCAGCCCCTGGATCATGTCGAATTTATGGATTTCTTTGGCATAGTATTCCGACTCGGTGTTTTCCTGAGTGCAGCCTTCCTCCCTCTCCCCCTGCATCTCTTCCAGCAGCTCCCGAGTGCTGTTGTAGAGGGCCAGGACCTGGTAGGGGACATGGGTCATCACCGATGGCTCCGGGGGGCTGGTGAGCCTGAGCTTGCTCAAGATCTGTCCCCTAATGGCTTCCACCCTCTTCTTCTTGATGTGGCCGAAGTCCAAGGTGGTGCAAGTGGACAGAGAGAAGCTGACCGTGGCAAAGTTCAGCAGGGCGAGGACCACCAGAGCCCTTTGCAAGTGCATCTTCATGTGCGAGCCGGAAGGAGAGGCTGGGGGGCGGCGGGGCCTGGCAAGGCGCAGACCCCAGCAGACGTGCAGAAGGAGGGAGGAAAACCAGGCGGCCTCCCCAGATCCCGAAGACTGAGGCTTGGCAAGAAGGTGCATGAACTCACTGCACTGCGAGAGCTTCAGGACTTCCAGGAAGCGCTGGCAACCCTGAGGACGAAGAAGCGGACTGTGTGCCTTGTAGCGCTGGGATCCTTCTCCATGTGTCTAAACAGGTTCTGCTGGGCTCTGACTCCCAGCAGGCCAGGTGGAGGGCAAGCAGAGGGCTGGGAGGGGTGGCAAGGCAGCTGGGAGTGGGAAGGGAGCTGGAGTTTTTCCTTAGGTAAAAATAAATAGAGCGGATATCTGATATTGCCAAACGCTGCTTGGCGATGGGGAGAAAGTTGGTATTTTAAAGAAAGAGCAGAAGGACCAGGTCTGAGTCCCCCAATCAAAAGTCTTGCCTTACCCTGAAGGA